AAAATCACCCGCCCCAACCAAAATAATTGGCAAAATGTAATATTTTCGCGTTCCATCAAAAAAACACCAAACCCCACATTCCTTATTTTAACTATTTTTTTTTTTTTTTTTTTTTTTTTTTTTTTTTTTTTCCCTTCCCCTCTCTCTTCTCTCTCTCTCTTTATTTAACCTTAAGCCACTTATGCTTATACGCTAATCTAGCCAGGTACACAAAAGAAGAGCCAACCGGTAACCAGATCGCCGATAGTGCTGGAGATATTTACCTAGTTACCAGGTAAACTACTTACTTTACTACTTACTACCTACTCTGTAAGTACACATTAAGTAAGCAGGGTAGGTCATTCAATACATCTCTTTCCTGCCTGCGTAAGGTAACCTACTACTACCTACCTACATAAGGTAGTATGTTGGCAGTGTGTATAACAGCATACCACGTCTTGCATGCTGTACGAAGTAATAGGCAGTCGTTCTAGACATTTGAATTGGGCAGTCTGCCGTCGTCGTCGTCGTGCAAAGCAAAAGATGATGCCCACACACTACTGTAGTCGACAAAAAGAAACGAATTAAAAAAAAGAAGGTGGAGTGGAATGGGGTCCGTATTCATTCATGCAATACCTACCTATCTCAGTCAGCTTGGCGATTCCCTGGCAGAGCCAAGCCAGACCAATGACCCGCAACGCGTCTTCGTCTTCGTCCGTCTTCCACATGTAGGTTAACCCCAAATATTGTGTTTCCCAAGCTGTTGCAAGAGAGAGGGTGTGTGTGTGTGTGTGTGTGTGTGTGTGTGTGTGTGCTTCATACGAAGTACCTAGCTTGATGTTACTTACAATTACACTACTTACACAGCAATTAGCCCTCTGCCGAGGATCTGAGTTTCACGATGCTGTCGCTTATCTCAGCCTCAACGTCGATTCGGCCCCGAAAGCCATGTCATTCATTTGTAGCATGTTTCGACTCCTCCCCTCTCTCATCTTGTGTTTCGTTTCCGTGCTTGCGGATTGTTTGCTCGCTCGCTCGCCCGCTCCCCCGCCTGCCTGCCTGCCTGCCTGCTCACTCGCTTGCTTTCTTGCTGCGAGGGCTTTCATGATCATCATGTCATACATCCGAACTTCAGCTATGCATCCGTCGTATCAGGCTTCTCCACTGCCCTTGCTGTTGACCAGGATCTCCTGTCCAGTGTACCGGAACCTTCTAGGTATTCCATCCATCTGCCATTGTATTCTTCCTCGTTATTTACTATATACCCATGTACAGCAATACAAATTACACTGTAGCAGTATCGAGGTGGACTTGATACACTACCTACAGTAATATATACGTAGTGTATTCGCTATTCACACAGTATCTTGGTAATACATACTTTGTACTGGAACCTTACATATTATGTACTAGGTTAGGTGGTAAGTAGTAGCCTTAGGCAGCTAGCTGCGCACAGGAACGGCAACTCTACGCTCCGGCCAGACTCCAGTATGATGACACTTTTGGTTGGCTCTTTCGTCTACACCACGCTACGCTCCGCAACACCGTTCATTGTGTATGGCCATGCCTCGCAGGCTGTGGGCTTCTTGTGCCCATCGCCGTGGCACCGGCGTTGCGAAGGATTGCTACTTACCTCCTGTAGGTAGGTGTGTGGAATGGCGCGCCTCCTCTATGGATCCCAAGCGTCCCTTTCTCGCATCTCTTGTTCATGATGTTCTCTGGTCCGGGCGTCGCGGTTCTTACAACTCATCTCGCTAGTCTCTACTCGATACTATGTAAGTTGGTAAGTTGATAGCTACCATATTGGCTTGCTTCATACTCGGGTTGCTTGTTTTGCTGCATTCTCGTCCTATGCTTCTGCTTTTTATTTATTGTTCGCTTGCCCTGCTTCTGAAGCTACGTCGACGTCGGAGATGCTGATCGGAATTTCGCTAGGGCTAAACCTATACCACTCACTTTAACAATATTGCTAGCATATATTAAGTAGAAGAATCCCGCCGACATACCTGCGCACTGTTGTTACTGTATCTCGAAGCGGGCTCTTGCCTCTTCGGACCAGGCCAATAATCCATAGGATTGTTTAATGATTATGTGTAGATCGGATCGACGCCTTATCGTCTTCCGTAGTGTGTCTACACTACACTAGAGAAACACACCATCTTCCCCGTCCCTGCTGAACATCCGGGAATCGCGACATCTGCCTGTCTTCTACACTAACCTAGTGTGAACACGCAACACGGAGTAGGTTGTAGGTAGTAGACAGGGTGGGGAGGCATTGAGAACACGAGACACATTGCCAGCCAGCAGACGTTGGACGGCGAGGCGTTGTCTCCCACACTGCCTCTGTACGCATTGCGCAGCATACGCGCGTGCATGCAGTTCAGTCGCAGTTGTTGACTACATTGCTCCTGGTTGCATCGGCGCTGAAGACGAGCAGCAGCACGGGGACAGCATCATGTATTAAATGCTTACAGATACATGCCAGATGTGTATGCAGGCGGCGGAATCCCATACGCAGTTATCGTCGTTTCACTCTGCCGAGATTCTCGATACATACAGTAGCGATCAGCTCGTTACTTGTCCACAAGCACTCGCAATTTCATCCGCAGAAACGACCTAGCGCGTGTGTAGTGTTACTAGAATAGCTTCCCTGGAGCTTGGCGAGCTAATCCTGGCCCCTTGTTCCTAAACCCTGTCTCCAGCTTCTCCCGTTCAGAACCCCGTTTTCTGCCCGTTGCAGACCCGTTGTTGCAGGCTTGTATCGCGGGCCAAAAGAGCTGCAAGGGTACCCGACCCGGCCACTCTCATCTTCCTTGCCAGTATTACTCTACGAAGTAGCCATATCAACACTAGGACCTTTTCATTCATATCCATAAAATCATAAATCATTCATTTCCTGCTACATCCCCACAGCTTACAGATACAGATACAGCTGTACTTTCATAATCTCTCGGTTCTTGATTCCTATTAGTTTCCCGTCTCCCCCTACCTCCGCAGCTTGTGACGTGCCTGGAAGCTATCCCGCAATAATTCAACAACCAAGTCTTAGTCGCAGAGAGGTCTTGGGGGGAGCCTGGGCCGGGCAATCGAAACTTGAAATCGCGATATTCGAATCAACCTAATATTAACATAATACCGTGGATATGTTTTCGTCAACTTCTGCGTCGACCAACTTCAAGGGGCTTCGACGGAAAGCAGCGAATGATGGCAGCTCGTCGACCTTCAATACGGCTCGCCCGTCCACCGCCACCTCACCAGAGCATTCTTACAGTCATGGTATAACAGATATGCTCCAACCCGCGCTGGATGGTCCACCTTCGCCTGAAGGGATTCGTGCCTTCAGCAGACGAATCAAACGACGCTCTGTAGCGGAACAGCAATTGGATGAAACAGCGCCGTCTTCAGGTACATCATCGCTTCACTCTGAAACCCCAGAAACATCGGAACATGGTTTCGAGGATGCTAGCTTATCGAGGAATCCGTCCCAGCGCTCTTCGGCCATGGCGTTTAGAGATCGACCGGAAAGTGTGCAGCTATTTGGCAAGGCGGTATTCAGCCGTAAGCCAAAGCTGCGCAGGGAACTCAGTGACCAAAGCCACTCAAACAGCTCGTTCCTATCGTTTGCTGAGTTGCCACCGGATACCACAACAGATCTATCACGAGAACAGCGCTTCATTCAATCCATGTTCACGCGACGACGGGTCAGAGGAGCATCCGAAGCTTCAATGAAAAAATATCAAATATCTGGACCCTACGACTTCCAGCATGTTTCTCATGCGTCAAGGGAAAACGCATCTGCTTTAAACGGGGTCAATAGCCAAGAGGTGCTGCCCAATCTTCCCGGGGCACGCTCGCGAACGACAACTGGCGCTTCAAACAAGTTGGGAGGGATCAATTTGCAGGCTCTCGATAAGCCTCTTCCGACGCCACCAATTTCAGAAGATAGTGAATATTTCTCACCAAGGAATAGTATTCAGTTCTCGCCACCTCGTCCGCTACGATATGCCCCTGACGTGAATACCTCACCGATTCCACCACCTCGGACATCGAGTCGTATCTCAACCCGCCACGACTCAATCGATCCTACCAGTATCGCTACGATCGAGAAACCGAGAACTGTTTCGAGCCATCACCATTCACAGTCATTTATACTACCGTTAACCGAAGCCACCCACTCGCGGTCAACCTCTCGGACTTCGGATAAAGACTCCGAACAATATAACGCAAGCGGCAATGAGAACTCTCCTTATCTCTTCTCCACAGGTGATGACACCGCGTGGCCCTTGACTAGTTCCATGACTTCTTTGCCTGAGGTACCTGAAGAAGAGGACTACAATTTGACCACCGTTATGTCGCGCGCAAGCGTCATCAGTACTAGCACATCTCTTAGGGGTAGTATTTCGGTACCGCATCTACGACGTGTGTCATTGAGCCAGGCGACACAACGACCCCCAAGCAATGCTTCAGATACCCTAGGCAGGTTCGATCTGTTTTCAACTCAACGTGCACTTTTTGAATTTGAGGAAGAGCACATGGATGAAATTGATTTTATCCGAGATAATTGGGAGGATGATATCGACTACTGTTATGAGCATGCAGCTGAAGCCGACTGCGATTTCGCCTGGGAGCGACTCTCCTGCGACCTCGAACGGGAAGAGTATTTGTCAAATGACCCAATTATCAGTCACCGTGTTCAAGCCAGCCTGGATAACTTTAGCTCAGCCCCACTAAGCCTTTCGCCAACCCCAGCAAGTTCAATAGTGCCGAAGACTTCGAACTTCTCGCTTCCAAGGGTTGACACCTCAGGCCAACTCAAACATGATCATGACCGATCTCATTCGAGCGCCTCGAGCTTTCAAGAGGTGCAAGGGTTTTCTTTATCACCAAGCTTGTTGATTCCAAATGAGTACCACGACAAGATGTTACAGTATGAAAGAGGTGAACTAAGCTCACATGCCTCCAGCGATGAGCTCAAGCTTTCGCACGATCAATTTCTGAACTTCGAGAAATTCGGAGGCTTCCTTCATGCCCGTTCCAGTGCATCAACGACCGTGTCTACTCTGTCAGAGCAGTCAGGAACGTCGAGCCGGTATCCATCCTCGACCTTTACTCGCTTGACTAATAGTAGTAGCTCAAGCTGGCAAGCCTCTGTCGACTCCCAGCAGCCCGTCACAATCACACTGAACGACAAGGAATCCGTTGTCACGGCAGTCAACAGTATGGCGGTAACGAGCTCTTGCGAGCCCACCGTAGATGCTCTGAAGCAAGAAGTTATCCGCGAGGGTCACAGCCGGGCACAGTCAGACGCGACCTTGCTGATGACGACAGCTCCAGTTGCAATGAAACCCACTAAAGAGTCTTTGAAGACTCACAGGCGAGCGCGGACTGCGAGTAGGAGCCACACTACTCCATCTCCTCAATTCGCACTTTTCCCACAAATTTCCCCGCGCTCTTAAGCTGAAAAGAGCGCGACTTCCACAACTAGACTTGATAGTCCTGCTCAATACTTGTGCCATATCTATATGGCTATATATTTTTCATAAACTATTGTTCATGGGGATTACAATGCCCTCTTATATACTCGACACAAAATAAGGCATCGCAGGACTAAGCCTGGAGTCCTGCCAGCTTTGCCTGTATCAATACCAAGGCGCAAGGGCAGCTCAGTCGTTTTCTGTCTTGCTATTTACTATTTCATCGGAACGGAATTTCATATCATGCCACAACTACCAAACATTATAGATTTCATTATTTTTATTCTCCGGAAACCAAAAGGAAAAAGAAACCAAACGGGGACACCATATTCAGAGGGATCAGGAACGGAACAGCATTTGCGTATCAATTTTTTTTTTCTTTGTTTCTTTGGGGGAAACGGGATTGCAATAAGACGGTCCGATCGTGCTTGCTTGTTGGTTGGTTTATCGTGTTTATGGGCTAATCAGCTACATAACCAAAACACAACACATACCACAAACACATACACAAGCACAAATATTTGTTTATATATTTTCATCATGATGTATGACTGGTATGAAGGGATACAGCGAGCACCCGCTCGGGCGGGAGAGGCTTCCGGTGTCGTGTACGAAATGATTTGGTTGGTCGGTCGGTCTCATAGTAGCAGAGGAGTGGAAGGAGTCTTAGAGAGCGAATTTCTCAGAACCACAGTGTACTGTAGCTTAAGGTGCAAATGTACTAATCTACTGACCGACAATGGTGGTATACCAAGTGACTTGCTCTTATGTTGCCTTGCCTGTCTGCCTGCTTATTGGTGTATTCGGGAGTACTTCATGATTCTACCTAATTGTTCAAATCCTCGATGAATGTGCTTATTATCGGCCGTGATACTGGGAAATTAGAGAGAGTCTACTTGACCCCTAGACGACTTTGCTTATGCTCGGTTGACTGTTGTCTTAGGTAAGGGACCTACCAACGTATCTTGATTTACCGTCTTCACCCTAGACGCGGATAATGATGAACATAAATTATCGAGTAACTTTGCCATGTCACTGAAATTTATACTCATTTTAACATTGTACAACAGCTTGTAAGCCTAGGAGCCAATTATTTGAGTCATATATAGCTTCTTATCGGACCGTGGTGGGTGGCAACCAGTCCTGGTATCGTCAGGTATAATGTATTTTCTCTCCATTTCACTCGTCGTCTTCTTCCTCCTCGCCCTTTTTCACCTCCGCCTTCAGCCTTACCCACTCGCCTGCCTTGGCTCTCACCTTCTCCTGACTTTTATCATCGCCATTCTTCTCTTCCCAATCAGCCCAGCGCTTGAACCATTTCTTGGCAGGCCGAGCCTTGAGACCCTTGACTTTGGTCGCTCTGTCGAAGACGTCTCTGATGACTGCCTTGTCGGCACTGGGGCCGTCTTCGTGGTCTAGCAGTTGGCTCCATAGGTCGAACCTCTTGGGGAATGAGGCAATAAGTCCTTCGAAAATAGTTCGGCCACGCTCGGCGCTCCCGTTCGGAGAGTTGTACTCTAATGCCGCAAATTTGGTCATCAAGGGAAGGCGAGCGTGATCTGGTAATGCTTGTGTGGCCCGACGCAGTAGAGCTCGTGCGCGGTCAGGCTCATTTTGAACAGCATGTAACCAATGAGCATAGTTATACCAGACATCCGGAGAGTCTGCACCAAACTTCTTCGTGATGGTCTGGAAGAGTGCATCTGCTTTCTATATGACTTGTGAGCGTAACATCTAGGATATATGACTTGTAGACTACTCACCTCTGGCTTATTATCTTGAACGTAAATGCTAGCAAGACGCTGGTAGACTTCTTGCGGATCATTGACATGACACGCACGCTTGAAAACATCGTCTACAATATCGTCGTTTCCAAACCTCACCTCAAGATTGAGATATGCTATCCAAGCATTCAACTTCTCCGTCTCTTCTGTACTGTTGATGGTTATGACAGCGCGCTCAGCGACTTCACGTGCTTTAGCTAGCTCGCTGACTTGCATCTGGAATGCCATATATTGAATCCAAAGACTGGATGAGTTTGGTTGACGATTGAGAAGCTGCTCGTAGTCAACTGCTGTCTGAGGGCCGAGAGTAGTCAAATCGCCACTCCGGTCGATTTCGACCTGAGGTTTCCGCCGCTTCTTTTTCTTTTCTGCTGAGTCCAAGCCCGTGTTGGTGCTTGCTGAAATGGGTTCGTCTAGTGCAGTTCCGGACCAATCAAACCCACCAGCTCCTAGGGCGTCAACGTTCTCACCTACTCCGTCAGCCATCTCGATATCCTCAACATCAGAAGAAAGGTGGTTTTCATCATCATCATCGGTACCCTCAATGAGGACGGAACTGCTGGCATCTTCCATGTCCTCATCATCTGATTGCTCGTCTGCGCTGTCATCCAATAAGGCGCCTGCAATTTCGTCGTCTTCATCGTCGCTCTCGTGTTCGTCCTCGAAATACGAAGGCTTCAGTCCAAAGCTGACTCTCTTCTTTTGTATGTCAATATCTAAGATGATTGCTTTCACTGCATCGCCTTCACTTAGAAGCTTTCTTGCGTCTTGTATAGGCTTTTCAGCCATCTCACTTCGATGGCACAAGCCGCTCACGTTTGCCGATCCATCGATGAGGATGAACGCACCGAACTCTTCGACTTTTCGAACCTTCCCTGTAACAATTTGACCGGCGCGTAGGTCTTGATAGTTAGTGAGCGGAATAAAGTCCTTCTCAACTACTGATGACTTCAGACTCATTTGAATCTGGTTAGTGGTAGAATCAATCGATACAATCCGTCCCTTCACTAATTGGTCGACCTGATATTCGTCCTTCCAGTCTTTAATAAATCTATCTGAAAGATCGGATATGCGAACCATTGCGGTCATGTCACCACCCAGACCAACGAACAATCCCTTGTCGGAGACATTCTTTACAAAACCACGAATCACATCGCCAACGCTAAGCTGAGCGCGACTCGTGATCTCGCGATCTTTGATGGGTAAAGATGAGTTCAATACTCTTGATGGGCGCAAAGAGAGCCGTAAACGTTTATTGCTCTTGTCAATGTCGACTACGGAAACACGGACAACACTGTTCTTGCTATACGACATGGTGCTAGCCTTGTCATAATCATCGCTCAGGTCAATTAAGTGCGCAGGCGCCGAGACCAGGTCATTCAACTGCACAATTATCTGGCGTTCATTGATCTTGGTGATTCTGCCAGGGAGAACCATATTTTGTTTGATAGAATCCCAACCAAGATGAGTGGACGCGCCAGAAGAGCGGGCCGATAAATCGAGGCGGCCGTCCGTCGGATTTACAGCAATAACGCGGACTCTCAAAGCGGAGCCGATTGGGAAATTAGTTGAAAGATCGTCAAGAAGTGATACATCATCAGATATCTCAAGCATGCTGATCCTGCCACGCACGTTTGGAGACAGATTGACCCAAAGCGAGTTAGACTGAACGTTGTTGACAAAGCCAATGTGCATTGATCCAAGCTCAAGTGCCTTGAGGGACAACTCTGGAGTTGTGCTTTCCTTTAGGCCACTTGGCTTGGTGGACAATTCGAGAACCGAGTGCGTGGATCGATGCGAAATGGGCAAGTATCGGTGGTTTCTGGCATCATGAACACCAAGAATCCGCACTCCTATAACGGTGTTGACTCGAAACTTGCTGAGAGGGGATTTGGGATTCGTGATTTTGTCCCAAGAATCAAATATTTGACTGACATCCACACGCCCTTGTATATTGTCGGCCAGCTTAACATTTAGCTGTGTGCTCTTGATCGAAACAATCGTAGCCTTTGTGACCTTTCCGACGTATAAGTCATTTGTAGACTTCAGCGTTTCGTCCACTGGGTTCTCCAGTTTAGAGGCAGCAGGTGACTGAGCATCAGTCGAAGGCTTATCTGTATGCGCTGGCGAGGCAACCACAAGTCGGCTGTTGTCTCTGTCTATAGAGTCAATCTTTACCTCAATCGATTGATATTTCTTGAGGCCGAAATCTATTTTATCTTGATTTTCTCGAGGAAGCTTCGACTTAGGCAGCAGAGCCGTGAGTGGGCCAGAGAACTGCACAAAAACGGCTGTGACAGTGATATTCCTGACGAAGCCTTGCCGGACATCACCAACCCGAGCTTGATCTAGGGCAGTAAGTAGTGTACCATCTCGGCTGGCTTGGACCAGGCTTGGCTTTTTCGACAATGCAATTGACCGACGACTATCATTTTTATCCAAGACAAGGAGATCGCTCAGAATCTGCCCAACACGTATGCCCCTCATAGCGGACTGATTTTTGCTTGGTCGGTCAGCTAGCTGTCCAACTGAGAGCAGTGCTTTAAGCGAGCTATCGACCAGTTCCAGATGAACATCGTCTTCAGTCTTTTGTATTACCGTAGCAGACACAATGTCCCCTATGTTGAGATTTTTAAGCGCATTCTGCTTCTCTATGCCAAATGCAGAAGGGTCTTTGCAGGAGACGAATAATTTCTGTGCATCAACATCGAAGTTGAGTATGTGCACACTCACTACTTGACCAACTCGGAAATGTTCCTTAGGGTCCCGGATGTAGGCTTCACTCATCTCCGATACAGGTAGGAATCCGCGCAAAGATCCATAAAATTGTACGACAGCTCCATTGTCCAGCACTCTGATGATAGTAGCAGGGCTTTGTGCCCCCACCACAAGTTCATCAAAGGATTGCAGTGGCCTCGCCTCGGAATTTACTAGAGTCTTCTTCAGCGTAAGTCGGACTTGGCGCTTGAGTAGGTCTGTGGATAGTACTCGGGCTTTAACCTTAAGACCTTCCCGAAATTTCTTTTCAGGGTGCTGGAGACGGACATCTGCCAGATGCATCTCTGGGATATAACCGTGAATGCCCTCTGCGAGCTTGACTAAAAGGCCACTGACCCCATCCTGATTGATGATGAGCTTCTCAATCTCGCCGCTGACCACGGAACCAACGGGAACATCCTCGATTCGGAGGAAAGGCTGCTCTAGGACACTTGATTCGAACGATAGGTTGTATACACCGTCGATAGCGTTATAAGAAACAACTCTACCGCGATGGACTGCACCAATTTTGAATGGCCCGGATGATTCAGAGAGAAGGTCGAGTTTCCCATCTTTGAGGCGGGAGATATGTACAAATCCGGGGACGCGGTCAACACCAATCTCAACGAATACGCCTTTGTCAGGGTCGACTTTGAATATGGTGCATTGCTCGACCATTGAAGATGGAGGAAGGACATCGAGGGGAAGTTTAGCTGAGGAGGTTCGTAAAGGTGTTAAGCTCGTGACATGATCCAACAGCGATACACCAAGTTTCGGCTCTTTAGCCGTCGGAAAATCGCAAATCACACGAGCCTTTATTTTCTTCCCAATCTTGTATTTTCCCTCCAAATCTAGAGCTTTGGGTCCTGCACCAGAGTGAATAAGATCAGCAGTTACGTCTAAGGAACCCATGACCTTTCCTACTAGTCCGCGCTTAGAGATGTCGGATACCATTAGTTCAACGGCGGACCCTGGTAAGAATGTTTGAATGGTCGTTGCCTCCGTCGCAAAGTTCTGTATATTCCCAAGCTTGTTTTGTAGGGCTGATAGTTGTATAATCTTTCCATTGGCACCCTTTTTGGTTACTAGACACAAGAAGACAGCGCCAGGCTGCATACGAGTTTCAAGAAGATCGCTAGGGACTTCTTTTCGAGGAAGAAAGCCCCGCGTGGTTCCGTCAGACAGGCCAAGGTCCATGACGAAACCATGGTCTTCCGCACTCGAAATCGCCGCCATCACAACGGTATTTTCAACGACTTCGTGGCTTACAAGCCCTGTATTGGTGTGCTCTGGCCGTAACGATAGCTCGATATGCTTTTTCGGTTTTGTTGATGTTCCAGTGTTATCCTCCGTAGTAGAAGTCACATAGGCACGAAGGTATTGCCCAACCTCGAAGATATCGTTCAGATCGACGGTATCAGTCTCATTCTCATTCTCGTCCTCATCTAGCGCTTCGGCTTCTGCTGCCACCCTCTCGCTCAAGACATCCGAGACGGAAGTGATCGGTACATGGCCTGAAAGAGAATTTGGTAGGGCGAGAACGATTTGTAACGGACGAATCTCAGTGATCTGGCCCAAGACAAGAGATCCTTTGACCAAGCGCTACTTCCCGTTAGAACTGCTTACTCAAACAACTGTGATGACTGATACACCTACCTGATAGTTCAGACTCTCTATTCTCACAACATCCTCAGCCGAACGAGTGCCAGTGGACAACTTGCTCTTGGAAACTTTTGACTTCTTTCGTTTCGAGGGCTGCTCTGCCTTCTTGCCCGCCTGGCCAGACTCTTGCTCAAAGAGGACGTCCTGTTTGGCCTGGATAGAAATCTGCCGATGTTCGAGAGGAGACAACACACTTCCACCTCCACGAGGGAATAGTGGTTCCTCTTCCTTAAGTCGCGAGACCCCAGGCGCGATCGTGGGCTTCTGCTGCGGCTGTTTGGAGGCGGCATTCTGCTTTGACTGGGACTTGTCGGATTTCGAACGCTTCGGAGATTTTGCAGTTGGTGTGCCCCCAGGGGCGTCTTTTCTCTTAAGAGAACTCATGGTTTCATATCGATGAACTCATATGAACGGCGCGATTTCGACAACGATGCCACGAGTGTTCTGTACCAGGTGACACCTACGGGCCTGCAGCAGGCTATCGTGGACCTTACCTCTGGTCGATTCCATGAACTTTTTTTCCTTTGCGCTTATCGATAAAGGTACAGCATTTCCCCATATCTCAATGCGCTACCCAGGTAGGTACTAGGTATCGAGCAGGTGGACCAGAGTAGATGTGGTAAGAAGGTACCTAGGTAGCCACAAAAGAGGGGCACCCTAACACCTACTAGTACAGTACAGTACTTAGGTACCCATTCGAGCCATTCTGGCCCAGGTTTGTTGAGACCCACTGGAACGCCCCCTGTCCAAGACTCCAATGCGCCAGCCAGGACTGCAGTACATGTACCATCTGGGTCACCTTGGCGTCATTCAAGGGCCCTGATCAGGTCCTGACTTAGGCATCTCTTTACGTCCTGGACGGTATCACAAGGACGCTTGTTGACTGAAGAACTTAACATAACTCATGGAGGGAGCTCGTACAAGACCATGACCTCTAGAAAGCGCCCTAGACCTGGCCCCTCCGATAACAGCCGCAAAGACACCGTGCCGCCAGATACCGGAGTTGCGTCACTGGTTCCGAGCGCATCATCTTCACATGGGATGTCACCCACCAAGCCAGGTCATTTGAACACGTCCACCAGCACCTTTTCCCGTAATGAAAAAAAGGTAACCGCCACGAACTATGTGCGCTTGCTGAATCTTTGATTCTGACTCTGCTATTCTAGGTCCGAAAGACAAAGAGCTGGTATGGCTCATGGCCTCGCGTTTCCAAGTCATCTCCTTCGATTCAGGTAGCTCGGGAGAATATAATGGGCGATACTCGTCGGTCGGAAGCTGCAGCAGACTTCAGCCGTTTCGAAACGAATAAGAAAGAGGCATCTACACATTCGGTTGGCCAGTCTACAGGGACATTGCGCACAGATACCGAAACCAATACCAAGACACAGCAAGATGAGTCGGTGTCTCCCACAAGACCACAGGAAATACCGAGCATGGGTGATGGACCAGCGGATGAAGATACGGAGAGAGGGCCAGAAAACTCTAGTGAAGGTTTAGATGGACCTGGTCCATCCGAAGACATTACTGCAAACTCCACAGGCTGGTTATCATGGCTAAGTCGGTCGACGCCCCAGCAGCAGAACGGACCAACAAATGACAACACTGAAGGCAGCCAAACTGGTCCAGTGGCAGCGCAACCTCCACAACAGCTTGAAAATCATCACGCTGAGTCGCTACAAGAGACCTCTCAACCAACGAAACAACCAGGCCCGTGGTTTGGATTCTGGTCATCGTCAACCAACGCAACCACCCAGGAGACTGGAAAACAAGCGTTGAAGAATGAAGTGACTGTAGCCGAAGAGTCCAAAGTCCAGGAGAATGGGGATGTTGCCATGCAAGATGCTCCAATGCAATCGGCCCCAGCACCAGCACCGGTACCTGCAACAACTCAACCATCAGCGGGCTCAACGTGGGCTTTCTGGTCTAGAGAGCCGGCTAAGAAAATAGATAGAGAGGCATCATCATCCGAACAAGGTGAATTAGCAGTTATGGGCGATGGTTCGGAAACGCATCCAAGAAAATCTAGCATTGAGGTCAGCGAAGAAAATAGTAACAAGAAGGAGCTGTTGGCCAAGCCTCCTCAGGACCGGCTACAGAAGGATGCTCGGAGGACAAAAGCCAAAAGAAACCGACCACAATCCATGGACATAGATGAGCCAGCCACAGTTCGGCCAGGAACACCCGATTCAGAAGTGACTGTCAAGAACTTGCCGTCAAAACCAGACACGACTTCGACCCATAAGGCGCTTCCTCCCAATTTACTTTTGCCATCTTTCAAGGCCACTTACCGTATGAAAGAGAATCCTTCAATCATTAAACAAATTGCACAGTTCTTGCTTAGAACGCAGCAGTCGCCTACAAAACATGTATTTCTCTCCAAAGAGATTCCACCGATCAAGAAAGCTCTTGCTATTGGCGTTCATGGGCTGTTTCCAGCCAGTTATTTGAGACCTATGATAGGTCAACCCACAGGGACTTCTATCAAGTTCGCAAATCATTGTGCCGAGGCGATTCGCAGATGGACTGAGAGCAATGGCTCGAGTGATTGCGAGATAGAGAAGGTTGCTCTGGAGGGAGAAGGTAAAATAGCAGACCGAGTCAATAACTTGTGGAAACTGTTGTTAAACTGGATCGAGCATATAAAAAATGCGGATCTCATCATGCTAGCTTGTCATTCGCAGGGCGTTCCTGTCAGTATTATGCTTTTAGCAAAACTGATTGATCTGGGAGTCATCACAAACTCACGAATTGGCGTCTGTGCAATGGCTGGTGTTTCACTTGGCCCCTTTCCAGACTACAAGTCCGGAATGGGGATGTTGATGGGGTCTGCAGCAGAGCTCTGGCAGTTTGCAGACCCGGAAAGTGAAATATCCAAGAGATATGAACATGCGTTGAAGACGGTAGTCGACTATGGCGCCCGCATCACAGTAAGTCAGATAAACACCATTTTCCCCTTCAAGATCTCTTTTACTAGCATATCAAAGAAGAGACAGATCACTAACAGCACCACAGTACATTGGCAGTCTCGATGATCAATTAGTGCCGTTAGAGTCGGCATTGTACGGCCCTGCCTATCACCCTTATATTTACCGGGCCGTCTTTATCGATGGCCGAAATCATGCTCCAGATTTCATTGCACACCTAGTGGGATTTGCGCTCAGGCTCCGTAATCTAGGGGTTTCTGATCACGGTCTGATTCGAGAACTATCGGTGCCTTTAGCAGGTAGTCTATATTCGGGAGAAGGCCATTCGAGACTCTACGATGAGGATCAAGTGTATGAGTATGTATAATTTCTAGACTTTCACCCCTTGTAGATTGTAACGATGCTGATATTTGCATAGCTTGGCTATCTCGCATACACTCGAGACCACGAGTGTTTTCGGTGTCCCTTGTGATGTTCAAAAGCATCAGGGACTTAGTAACCCTAATCCATATGTACTTCCATGGATTATGCGAGGTCTTCTCGAAGAGGATTTTGTTAAACGAAATTTTGAAGAAACAGAGGAACTACTTAGGCAGTTCGACGACTGGCAACCTACCACGAAAGCGCTGAAGGATGTGAAATATAGACTGGAGGCAGTTAGATCGAAATTGTAGGATTCTTTGGGTGTCTTTTAGATATATATAATACTGGGCGGAATGGCTAGCGATCAGCACATCGGGATCTGGTCTGGGCAAGGACTTAGATGGTTCATTTTTACACACGTAAGGAGTTTGGCGTTTAGTGGCCTTTTGAGCCAGTGGTATAAGGATGATGATTTGGGTTCTTATGCCTGGCTTGGTAGATAAAGGATATAACAAGTATGGCCCAACCTTGTCAATATGTGACATGATATTCTACTTCTCCAGTTTATTCTTGGTTATTATTTTGTAATCTTTTCCTTTCAGTTTATAAGGCAAATGTGTAGGCCATTATTGAGTAAAACATGTCAGTACGCAGGTTGTTTCATATATATATTACCTATTACTACCTCTTTCGAAGACGTCTCAACCTCTTTAGATCGCCAGCGCCCTGTAGTCTTGTGAGCCTCAACTTGTCTTAGCCTAATCATCATCGTCACCGCATCACCGAGCGCTTGGTACCTACCTCTTAAGGGATATATATCTTGGCGTACGCCCAGCCATGGGGCACCTCTTTTGTGGATTAAGTAAGTATTCGCCTGCTACTGAGTGTACATGTACCGGTAGAATCTGAAAAGCACCCCGCCATCAAAACAGTACCTACCTACACACAAGGGAATACTAGAAGGGAAATCCTTATCGCTTTATGTCTTAGTAGCGATAACAGCAAACGCACAGACACGAGGTATCAACACTCAGCAGACATGAAGCAATGCACAGCTCTGTAAGCTTATGAAAAGAAAAACGTGGGGAATTGCTCATCTATTGTGTTATCTTGTTGAAAACAAGGCTAGCCACTACTTATATTGGTGATACTCCGTCCCACCTGGGTAAGTCAGCTGGGGAGTACCTAACCTAGTTATATAATAGATCGCCTCCCTTATGTAAGGAAGTTCTCCTAAGTAAAGGTACCATAAATTGGATACACTACGCAAATTAGTAGGTACCTAGGTAGACTAGCCGAGCGAGCTCTCAATAGCCCTGCCCATCTTCATCAACAGCTGCTTCGTTTGTTTTCGCCATTCAATCAATCGCCTCTGCTCTACTGCCTGTACGCTGCTGTATGCATGTACAGCCTGAGTCGCTCCCTTAGTTATTGCCCGTCGCTTTGTGTTTAGAGGTAGATGCCCTCCTCAATGTCTACCTAGGTAGGTACAAATTAGCCCCCCTGTACACCTTTAACCTCCCAGTGAACTTACCCACATATACTACATACAGCGTCGCTCTACGGTAGCGCTACAGTACAATCGTTCGAACCAACGTCCATAGGGAATATCACACCACGACTTCTTTCGCCTCCGTCCATACCAATAGCATAATAACGTGGCACTTTCGTACCAGTCGGACCGTCGCGCACCCCAAACTTGCTGAGACAGCTGGGGTCCGAGCCCACCTATCTACGCCCACAAAGTCTTCGGAGCAAGACAACCGACAACCCGCCGTTGTCAGCAATTGCACTCGACTGTTGGTAGTAGGAAACTCGGCGATGATTTGAAGATGGATCATTGCGAACTCCTCAAGATCAAATGATGCTTGGAACCGCTGGCACCGAACGCGACCATGTAAGCCTATCGCCTGGTAATTTCTTGAGAACCATAACCCCTGCTAATCGATGAACCTATTCTACTAGACAGATTGAAGCGAAGCGGAACGCCTCTGTCGGGGAGCCGTCACCATGGCGCTCCTCAACCCGACCTTCGTCTTCGGCCTCTTCGTCCTGCTATATATCTCGTCCTTTGTACTCTTCGCCGTTCTTCGCATTCTGACCGGCATATCGATACAGCGGATCGGCTACTTCTCCCTGCGGCGCCTGGCTTACACTCCAAGGGATGGCGTTAAGTTCGAGATCCGCGGCCTCGGGCTCCATGTACACCGCCCAACCTTTTCGCAGCCAACATGGCTAAGCATTGTCGTCAGCGAGCTTGTCGTCACTCTCGACATTAAGGAGCTAGACGGCCAGAAATTGAACGCATCGGGACCCGACGAGAATGAGGACGCCGGCAGTCGAAATGGGATCGGCGACCCTCTCAAAGCCGTACCAAAGCTCCCGCCTTCGAGGAGAGGGACCTTCGATGCTCGTAGCGCCACTTGGAAGCAGCTTACCAAAGCGAAGGAGCGTCTAAAGAAATTACACCGCAATGTTCGCTGGATACGAATGGTCGATGTCGTAGCAACAGATTCTGCTGTTCATGTGGTGGATGTGGGCAAAGTTGAATTTGGGAGCTTCACAATCGCTTTGGATACGAGACGCCGACTCGTCGATCGCGCCCGATTTTTCTTCCAGTCCAGGGCAGAGAAGCGGCTCCAGAAACAACCTGCTGAATGGATCGTGACTTTGAAGAGTATTCTTTTTACCGCCAAAGGTGGCGAGGCTATCGAAGTTCTTGATAGCGCCACCTTAAACGTCCACGGGTTTTTGTACGATAATATGGACGGCCTTCGAGATGCTGCTATCGCATTGAAATTTGGCCGAGTGCATGTGCCCTACGACGATATTCAATTTTGTGTTGAGGCGTCTAAAAGGCTACGGCGGCGGCATGCGAGCTTTCACAAGCAGGCATATTCAATTGAGATCCCTGTTATGGGTCAGAGTTCCCTGGATAATGTCATCCGAGAGATAGAGGAACCCGGTAGTACAGACTCAGACCTGATGCAGACTGTCTCTGATTCCAAAGAGTTTGTAAGCTCTATCCTTCGTGGTATCAAGGAGGTTCAATTCGCAGTGAGCTTCGTCTCTCTCACAAAGAAGGTACACACTGTCCAGTCGACTGGCTCACCTCTGCTACTTAATGCATCAATGAAGGAGGTTGGCATTGACTTGCACCGACTGGATCCCAAGTCCCCGGCGCATCGCATGTATTTCCCATCTAATGCTATAGCGCACGAGGCTTTGGCGGCAGCCCTCTCTATATCCATTGGACTCGATGATGGCCAAGGCAAACCAGAAAGAATAGTGTATGTGCCAATGGCTACTACAACTATGAAAACCACATTGCCATCGAAGACAGTTGAGCTGTCAGAAGATAGAAGCGCCGAAGAAAGAAATGCCAACATTCTTTTTGCCAACTCCGTTGTTACCTCACCCAGTGTTGATTTAGACCCTAAACGTCTTCCTGTGCTGCTCGCCCTCCTCCAGCCCAAACCCAAGCCTCCAAAAGTGCGCTCACCACATAGACACAGACTTATTTCTCGGCTCCTTCCTAAGGCTAACATCAAATTTTCGATGCACGAACCGGTTCTCAGGATAGCATTGCCCCCAGTTCAGAAGACAGACGATCACGACGATTTCGATCTTATTATTTCGTCTATTTCATCTATTTCGATAGATCTCGAGTCTTTTCACTCTGCTGTAGAAGACGTGCATTATTCGTTGGCTTCGTCGATGCGCATACAAACCCACCATCTATATTACCAGACAACACAGGGCAATCGCTTTGATCTTATTGACACAGATTCTTTTGACCTCAAAGTACAGTTATCAGCAGCACCTGATGTTCATGTTGTCGCAAATGGCCATCTTCAAACATTCGCCATTCGAATGACGCGACCCGAAATCACCAAAGGCATACGTCAGATCATTCGACAACTCAAACTCAAAGTTGAACCTGACAAGCGCGCGGGCTCGAAAACGCTGAGGCCACGGAACATCTTACGAGCTCTACCACAGTGGTTCCTACACTTTTCAGTTCAAGTAGACGATTTCAGTGCCGAAATAACAGGTGTTGATAATGATTTTCCTGGAACCACGCGCGGCGTAGTCCTCCAGGTAGATACATGGTCAGCTGAATATCGAGCCCAGAGGATAAATCATGCACGACAGCGGCCTGTGTCCAGAAGACGAGCAGCAAGCCGACCATTAGTACCTGATCCAGATATATTAAACTCTGTATCCGCACCATCGTCTCCCCGTAAAAAGCCGCAGCATGATGGAGATGGACGGCGGATTGCAATCCATATCAGGGGTCTGGAGGCTTTTGTGATGGAAGCGCCCGACAAATGGGAAGTTGAGCCATTTATTCACATGCCTCGCTTCGAGGTTGCTTTCTCAACCCACAGTGATTCGCACAGTCCAATTCTTCATGTTCAGTCCCATTTGCGCAGCCTCCTTATTCAATACTCGCTTTTTCGCCATTATTCGGTCGGCGTTGCTATCATGGTTCTGCGAAGGGCATTTGCGAAAGATCCTCAGGATTTAACACCGTTGAGCCCACGACATAATCAGATTCCCGTTACACTATTGAACCCCGCGTCACCATGGCCGGGAAGTGCAGATGCATCTCCAAAGTCTGTCAAAGAGGTGGTAACAGTTGATTGCAAGGCTACCTTGATCCAAGTCAAGGCCGAAATGCCAGCTGATCCTCCACTTATGATGCAAATATATGGCATGGAGGCTGGCCGCCAACGTTGGTTACCTCCATATTTCGCCTCAAAGTTGATACGTCTGTATGCTGGTGCTCCTAGAATGTTAGGCGTTTGGGCTCGGGTTGCAAGCATAAAATCATTCCGCTTAGACTACCGAGAATCACGAAAAAAGTCATCCAATGGAAGCTTTCAGGATGACAGGATGGTTGACGTTGTGACAGAGGCTATCAGGCTTGCTGTTCCTCACGAGCTCATCATAAATAAGATCTCGGACAATTTCATTAATGTCATTAAAGCAAGCCAGCAGCTTCATCATCGGTTCAAGACCGGTACCAATGAGTATATTCTCGAGAAACTGCCCGAAAAACCGAAGAATGTTCCTAAAATATCCCTAAGGACTCGTAACTTGATGCTCGAACTAGAGGACGGAGCGTTTGAGTGGAAGCTGGGCATGATATACAGAGCCGGTCGCGTGGAACAACAGCAACGGATTGCTCGTGAAGATGCTTTCCATGTGAAGGTAAAGAAAATACAGGAAGAGGACTTGAGAAGAAATCCAGCCCGTTTTCGCAATCGCTCAGTGATGACACGAGGTCGAGATACAAACGGGAGTTCGTGGGGACGCAGCAAAAGTGAAGACCGCCTAACAAAGCATAGTCGTGATGAAAGATCCCACAGTGAGGCTCCACGGAGTCGAAATCCGCGGTATAACCCGGATGGTCTTCGTGATATGACAGGTAATGCGCATATCACTATACAAGAGGCGAGAACGAGACTACACGAACACAACGCACAAAGCTGGAAAAAGCGCATAGACCGTCATTTTCACTTGGCACGACAACAGATTCACGACTCTCGGAGCTTGTTTTGGGGAAGTGACCAGGTTCCTGACGATCTTGAAGACACAGAAAGAATACTTGAGGTGCCTCAGCGGCCTGCACTCATGGCTACAACTATTCACGAGCTCCATGTTCTCATCGATAAACCATCCTTCCCATTAAACGAGCTTCCGGAGTTTCTCCACCAAGTCGGTAAAGGGATGCCAAAAAATATGCAGTATTCGCTCCTCATTCCAATGAATATCCAGATTGCAATGGGCGAGGCAAAAGTCACTCTACGAGATTACCCTCTCCCATTACTTCATGTTCCACCCCTAAGGCCCAGTCAGCCATCTAAGTTCCCAGCATTATTTCTCAAAACAGATTTTGTCATAGCCGAAGAATTTCGAGGCCACGAGGCTTCTCGAAGGATAAGAGTTCAGATCACCCCTCCTAACAATCCGGAACCCGGTCTGCCGAATGGTAGCTTTGCCATAGATGTGCGGCGTACTATTGGCCCGGTCAAGTCATATTCCGATATGTATGTGGATCTCAACACAGCTGATCCAACTCGGATCACATGGGGTCCTTCATATCAACCTGCCATTCAAGACATGATGATGGTTATTGAATCGTTTACAAAACCTCAGCTTGATCCATCTGAGCGTGTCGGATTTTGGGACAAGATCAGGTTGAATTTCCACTCCCGGGTGAGGGTCGCATGGAAAGCAGGTGGTGATGTACATCTTGCCCTGAAGGGTTCCAGAGATCCATATGCAGTCATTGGGAACGGCGCTGGATTCCTGATGTGTTGGCGTAATAACGTCAAGTGGAATATTCACACAGATGATGACCCAAAGAAGTTCATGACGGTAGATAGTGGTGAATACGTCCTTGCGGTACCCGATTTCAGCCACCACGTCAGACGAGAAGCGCACAGGATACACGAGGGTGACAGCGTTACCAGCGACTCTGATTCTAAATCCGAAGTAGCTTTCAAAAAAGTCATCATGAAGCTATCAGGTAATGTTCAGTGGATGGCTGGACTTGTGTTTGAACGCGCTATCGTCGATGGAAAGCGAGACTTTAGTTTCAAACCACATTATGATGTGATATTGAAAGCCCCGATGTATGCCAAATCCGCTGATGAGGGGATTCCATATGATGCCTTCCGTGGCTTCAGAAGTCAGCATATACATCTTTCCGTTGCTGTTAAAGCACCAATTGACCGGGATTGGGCATCATCCGAATCCCAGCCACCAACTAGGAGTTACAATACCGTGCACCTAACTCCAAGGTTCTTCACTCACTTCTTCGCATGGTGGTCACTTTTCAGTGGGCCTATGTCACTCCCCATTCGTCAAGGCTCTCTTTGGCCTGGAAGAGAAAAGAACAGTAAGAAGTTTGGAAGACATTTGGGCACAATCAAATACAACCTTCTTCTTGCACCCTTGTTCCTGAGCCATATGTACAAGCATAAAGACGCCGAGAACTACTCCGAGAATGACGTGTCAGCCACAGGCATCAAAGTCAGATTTGATAGCTTTATGCTGGATATCCACCAGCGCCGTGAAGAGTTCAACACGCGAGCTGTTGATGTAAAGTCTGCCAAAGCCAACAGTAGAACCACCGGGATGAAAATACATGCTGCCCAACTTGATCTTTTGTCAGCGGATGTCCGTGCTGTTTCTGCTAGTATCAGGGGCACCACAGCCGAGGCAGTAAAGAAGAATTCGCTTTCAACCTTGTTTGCGCAACAAGATCTAGATGATACCGCTGATCTTTCACATTTCACCATCCCAGATCGCGATTTTAGCTGGATTGATATGGACGATTTTGTTGAGCTTGATTGGATTCTACCGTCAGAACCAAACCCGGACACTAAAATTCTACCGCTCGCATACTCTCCACGTGTAACTTATTTCCGTCAAACCGACGTCGGGGGTACGATCGACGGGGACCCGGACCGCACAAGTCCTTTCGGAAACGAGCCTACACATTTTTGTATCATGAGGCAAGATGACGATCCTAGGAGAGTACAGTCCCAGCTAATTCAGTCTCGGCTAGACCAATTAGATTTTCAAATCAAAGACAACATAGCGAACGTAGCCGATGCTGAATTACGAATGATCAGAGATCCGGACGTTCGGCCTGAATATGAAAGCTTGCATAAGCACACCAGCGTTCTGCGGGATAAACGGTCATTCATGGAGTCTATGTTGCATCAAATGGCATATAAAATTACAACCAGCGAGCAACAGAAAACGTCCCGTAACGGCGACCAATCTGACAATAGCTCTAGACGCGTTACTGAGACCAGAGACGCAGGGTCAACGGTTCCATCAGGAGCCGACTTCGCCAGCGATTTCAAGAATAGATTTGTTGTTCACAACATGCATTTGAAATGGAACAATTTATTACGAAACATTATCCTTCGGTACAGCCATCAAGTCAGCCAACGACGAGGTTTTGTTTATTATCTGTCTCGGCCAGCTGTGAAGTTCATCCTCGACATTGTAGAAGAACAAACGAAAGCGAAGCAGAGCAACAAGACCAAAGCACCTACTCCCGCTTCCAACACTCCACAAACCGATAGATCCAACGGCCAAAGTGATGAGATATGTGATGATATAGAATACCGAATTAAACAGATTCTGAAAGATGGTCGAAAATATGTCAATGCCGAAAGAACTAATACATCCGAAGCCACCATTAATGCCAATATGGAAGATATCACGGGTAGTATTGCCGAAGAATTTGCCCCTCAAAATAGCTTTCATGTTCGCCTTATTGCACCACAAATCCAGCTTCAAAGCGACAAAAACAAGAAGCATGTCATCCTAGTAACGGCTAAAGGGATGGAACTCAAAGTTGTTGAAGTCATGGAGAAAGCTAGATTATCAGATTCTGTTAGTGGTTTGGTGCAGCGCCGGTTCCTGCTTCGTATGGATAGCGCACAATTCTTCGTCACGCATCAAAAATGGTTTTTGAGCCAGATTCTCTCAAAATACTCCGGAAATAAGTATGGTGCACCTTCCGGCTCTTCTTGGCCACCATGGGTCCCGATGGAAATGATGTTTGATTTTCAGTCAGACCCATTCGGCTTTAAGCGGATCGTACAGAAAACATCAGCTATGTTGAGATACGACAAATTCAACACACTTCGATTGAAGTACAATGATGAAGTCAACAATGTCGAAAGTGGCACTCCATCTGTAGACAATACGGAAAGCAGGATGGACAACCTCTGGGTAGAGTTCCCTCAAGCTCGAGCGCTATGTAACTCTTCTCAGTACTACGCTATGTACGTCATAGTGCTTGATCTGCTTCTATACAGCGAGCCTTTAGAGAAGACCAGGAGTGAGCGGCTAGAAAAGATTATGCTAGCATCAGACTTCAGCGATCTCCGAGGGACGCCTGAAATGGTGACTAAACTACAAGAACGTATTCGAAACCTCGAGGAGATCAAAAGCCGGTTCCAAATCCACTCCAAACACTTGGATAGAAAGGGTTGGGAAGATCGTCTGGTATTAGAACGAGACCTTGCAGCCAGCGAGGACGAGCTGTTCTTCGTGATGAAGGCTATAACGTCATCCCAGAGGAAGTATGATAGCTCTTTGCAAAGCAACGCACTTCTCAAATGGACTATCTCTGCCAGAGAAATCGTTTGGCATCTTATTCAGGATAACCACGAACCTTTGGTTGAACTTCAGCTTAAGGATGTCGAATATGATCGAACAGACAATTCAGATGGTTCACACATCAACCTAATGCAGATTGGCAGGGTGATCGGCCTAAATCTAATGCCCAACGCAATTTATCCCGAAATGATTGGCCCGTATTTCGAGGATGAGAAAGGCCGCGCAGCCGATATGAAAGACACACAAATGATCCGAGTGTATTTCCACATGTTGGAAGCTATTGCAGGTATTCCTGTAATGGATCACTTTGAGGTGAATCTATTTCCCATGAAGATACAACTGGAACGTGAAGTAGGCAAGAAACTATTCCAGTATATTTTCCCCGAAATGCAGGTTGCGGAAGCTACCAAGGGCAGCGATGTATCCGACGCGCCATACATTGCGAGAAGCAGTGATTCCAGTAACGCCTTGGACACTTTGGATGAATCGATGTCAGGATCTGGAAGATACGGCTCTGTAGGCTCTGATATAGAGTCACCTTTCAATACGCGAGCTGGCTCATTAGAACTCCGTCTGCGTCCCACCCTGACTCTTGACTCGCGTGCGCCCCATGACGATGGGAGTTCTAAAGTCAAAGCCGTCAGCATTCACTCTGGAGAGGGAACCCACATGTTCCGTTTATTCGGCACTAAGCCAGCTAGCAAAAAGCCGTCATACGAGTCGCTACGGTCAGCTAATATGCCAAAACCTGGAATTGGACGGTCTTCAACAGCACTATCTATTAGCAGTGAAAGTAAGAAGGGAGCACGCTTTGCACTTGCTCGAAAAATGGGCAATTCGGAAGTTGAACCATCGGACGATTTATCCAAGATGATAACACGTGCCTCAAGTTATATGACTTTTGCTTACATCAAGATGCCCTCTGTCGTCTTATGCCTCAGTTACAAAGACAAGGGCGAACGTAATTTGAAGGACGTGCACGACTTTGTGTTCAGGCTTCCTACAATCGAATATCGCAACAAGACATGGTCAAATCTAGATTTAGCAATGAATCTAAAGAACCACGTTATCAAGGCATTGATCTCCCACACTGGTGCTATCATCAGCAACAAGTTCAGTAAACACCGGCCTAATACAGCCCAGCAGAACAAACTCCGCGAGTTAGCCACAAGCAGTGTTCTTCTTGTTACGCCAACGTTGTCCAACACTGCTGACAATAGTGATGATTCGTCCAGCCTTATTACCACCAGTCCTATCGACTATTCTCGCTCTCCGCCAAGGAGCCTTAGGGATTCTCAATCGAGCAGTTCTGCTCTTCAGCGCTCCAATAGTAGAAGTTCTTCTGTTGCGTCGTCAAGCTCCTACAATAGACATGGCATTGACTCCCGAAGTGGTGACACTCCGCCGGGCTACAACAACAAGATGATGGCGGGAAGTCGAGCAATGACTGGCCTCGGGATTGATCTTGGGCGTCCAAAGTCGAGCAGTAGCAGTCAATATTTGGAGCCTGCAAGGCCAGCCACTAGCGGAAGCAACATGAGCCACAATCAAAGTCGACGGAAATCCGCTGGCAGTGGATTCCTCAGGGGCAAAATCAATGCCCTAGCCAACCGCATCAAGGATAGAGACGGGGGCGATTCTAAAGAGCATGAGCCCAGAGGCGAATGATGTGACTGAGGTGATTTGACCAGACCATCCAGAGTTGACCCGCGATGGATGGTAATGCCCGAAGTGCACATAGACAGACATGGCCGTATTTTAGGCGACCCCGTAATATTTACGAAGGCCTTTCATTTCAGGGTGTTCATATAATGCATAGTAACTGGAGTAAATGGGGGCCGTCAACGCATTTACAACTGTTTTGTTTTTTAATTTCCCTATTCTTTTGTCCAATTAGCCGTACCCGTTGACAAGGTCCATACTGCTTGTTTACTTTGTTTTTGTCTTAATCCCAATGTCCATCCGAAGCGACATGCAACCATAAACCAAGAGGCGGGAGTGACCTAGAAAGAATCATCAGAAGTACTGGTGTGTTGCCAAGTACACAGTTGCTGATTATCGTCCATAGAACATATGGAGCCTTTATTTAACGGTATACATATATAGAAACTGCTCAGGCAGGGACAATGAGCATGATAGGCGAATGTATTTTTATCTTGAAGAGCTCTCTTCCTAGCTCTTCCTCGCTGTATCTCAAGAACAGGGGGGACATCAGCGAGGCTATCTACTTTCAATATATATCACATCCAGACACTGTTAGCCTCTTTCTGGGAAAAATTATATAGTCAATTGTTGTATACCAAGAGGCACATATATCGACCTTACTCGAGAACAAACCCTGAGATCATGCAACCAATGAGTTATGAGTTTGGACGAGTAGGCGGATGGTCAACACTAGGTATTGGAGTGGTTATTTAACCACAGTGGTATCCACCCCGGACTTAGTCAATCTTAAAAATCCCAGATGGTAAGTTATTGCCAATACGCTGGGTTCGCCAGACACCAAGATCTATTGTGTTTTCTGAACATTTATTCACAGCCGGCTGTCATAGTACTGTTTATAAGGAGGAGCATTCGAAATAAGGGGACCGTTCCTGGACTTTGGAACGTTGCAGCGGTTATGAAGTCTCAGAAACCTGTTCTCTACAATGTTTCGCTGTCTGGCAAAGGTAGCATTCGTGGATCAACCCTTGACGAACGCATAAATAGACTGGATAGCATATCTCCAAAGCTCTAAATGCCTGACCGACCTTTGCATTCGTGTCGGCAGAGCGGTCAGTGCTCGTCTTGCCCACCGCGACTTGATCTGTATGATATGATCTCTGTGCGAACTTAGTATGACTTGTTTCCGTGTCGGCTTTCATCCGCTTGTCCCAGATCCGTCGGAAGAATCCATGATGAATCCAGGACTCCAGTACTCCCATTCTTGGGCCTGTTTGTCAACCCAGAGCATCCCTTCGCCTAGAAGATCTTCGACTGCTGTCTGTGCTCGCGCTCGCGTCCAGCGCAGGTTTACCATGAGCATGGAGACGCTAACATAGCCCAAAACCTGGGCAGCTTCGAGGACCGAGCTTTGGTCCGTGTTAAGCTCCTTGGGCACCGAACGTATATATGACTTGTTCCCGACTTTGATAACGGAGTAGCTAGAGCCGAGGGGCTTCAGCGTAGCAACGGCCCGTAGCACATCATCCCTAACAAGAATATCAGCAGGGCATCTCACTCACGGGAAAATCGAAAGGCTTGCGAGGTTCGATAGGAAAAGCAGTCAAACATACTCAGTGACCTCAGGCGCGCCCTCCATCCGCCCCTTCATGACCCTGTCCCTGAGCTCGCGCACCCCAATCAAGCCGCCATTCTCGCCGCGCGTGGCTCCGCAGACCTCGACGACGCGCACGGCGAGCTCGAAGTAGAAGTCGTTGACGCTCCGGCCGAGCAGCTGCGCCCAAATGCTGCCCCCGCCGCTGCCGCTGCCGCTGTTGTTGGATGAGGCGAGCGGGTCCACGCCAATAGCAGCGCACATGCGCGCGAACTGGGCGCGGAACGACGGGTTCGATCTTATGTCGCGCGCGTGCGTCTGCGCAAATTGCTGTAGTAGCGAGCGGAACACGGCGAGTTGCGTCTCGAGGGCCTGCGCGTTGGTGCTGCGGAGCGAGTTCCCGTGCGAGGCGAATTGCGCGGATGTGAGCCGTGAGCGGTCGAATGCCGCGAGACCGACGCCTTTGCGAGACATCCTTTTCACGGCCTTGTAAACTGCGGGTGGTAGATTTAGGTATTCTTGGTGATTGGATGGGCTTCAGGCAAGGGCTCTGTCTTCTCAGTTCGTCACTGATGCTTGTGACGTTCTCAAATCATAAATCACATGTTGCAATGCTCAACGGACCAGAGGAGATAAGAGCAGTTCGAGTTCGTCCTATCGCTTAGACATCTCTCTGACCCGTCCTGTATTTGATCAAAAGTTTATATGCATGTGCATTATGAGATGTAATTCTATAACTTGATTCATCGCGACTGTCTTCAGACCTCTCATCAGGTGGCTTCAGTGACGTTGTCTTAGACCCCACCAAACCGCGATGTTTCAGTGGGGACTCGGCATATCTTCGGTATCTGATAACGAGTTGTGGGGCAATCTCAAATCAAAGCTCTAATCGTCCTAGAGAAATAGCTCAGCCACATCTCATCCGTTCAAGCCACACGCTGGCGAGACCCCAGGCCAAACTAGCCCACCAAAACGCACAATTCGCATCTCCACTACCACGACCACGAAAATTCCTTGAAGCTGAAGTTCGCTCGCTGCGTTTCCACATTCGACAAGTCCAGTTTCCCGACATCACGACAATCTCTAGTAACCACCAACATGGCCTCGGTTCAATCAGTTCGTACGTATCCGACCTCTTCATTTTCAACTTTGGGCCATTCAAATTTTGGATTGGGAATATTTGCTCCAGAGGGCTCCAGAGGCCAAGACAAGATACATAAGATTTTGCTAACCAACCCGTCTTCTGCAGAGTGCTTCGGCGTACGACTTCCCTCTCTATTCGCGCTTCTAAACACTCCGAGCTTCCAGTAACGGCAGAGGTGCTGACAAAATTCGCGATATAGAAGAAGAAGTCTGCGACGGCAGTTGCGGTATGTGTTGGAGGAAAACCTCGCTTCCTACGAGATGATTGGTAACTGACGAGGTGCAACAGGCTTGCAAGGCTGGCTCTGGCCTCATCAAGGTCAACGGTACATAGAAACCAGAGATGCGCAACTTTCGACAATGTGTCTAATGCGTCGCGATTACAGGAAAGCCCCTTAGCCTAGTCGAACCCGCCGTCCTCCGCTTCAAGGTCTACGAGCCCCTTCTCGTTATTGGCCTCGACAAGTTCGCCAATGTTGATATCCGCGTGCGTGTGAGCGGAGGTGGTCAGACCAGCCAGGTCTACGCTGTCCGACAGGCCATCAGCAAGGTAAATGCGATACACTCCGCGCTTGTCATCGAGGAATGTCAGGTTGGTTGTGTCAGGATACAAGCTGACCAATTCATTTAGGCCCTGATTGCCTATTACCAGAAATACGTCGATGAGCACAGCAAGAACCTACTAAAGCAGGCTCTCGTTCAGTTCGATCGTACCCTCCTAGTTGCCGACAACCGACGATGTGAACCCAAGAAATTCGGTGGTCCGGGTGCCCGTGCCAGGTACCAGAAGTCTTACCGTTAAAGCGGGAGCGCAAAGCTACGTTTTACTTACGCGGTTGTGGTTCTGGTGGAGAAGAGCGGACCAGTCCTTTGGTACGAGGGAGCACGGCATACGAACCATGGATCATATCAACTTATGCGGGTCTGGTTTTGTCTTCCTTGTCTTTCCTGGTTCTCTGCGAACTCAGGGCAAGTGTCGGTGGTCGCACTAAGGGAGTTATAAAAGGAAATCCGGCGAGGCTATTAGCACCAACTGCCTTCCGTATGGTCATTGCATTTACATGACAGGAAATACTGTCTGGCTGTAAAGGGGTTAGGCGAAATGAAACGACACAAATTCTGAACAAACAAAAAAAGCCCTACGGTCAAAGTCTTTGTGAATAATACTGGCTGGCATGATATGTTGTGCTATTCGTATTTGATGCTATGGAGGTAAACTGCCGAACCATAATTCAAGGTCGGCTTGACCTTGAGCTCGAAAGCTAATGTTCTTCGAGTGACTAGCTGATTTCATCAAATCACCCAGGAGACAAGTGACATGTCTAGGTATATTGAGGCTTATCAGATGTGATATAACCCAAGCTATACGTAGGTATTCTATTTACCTATTTGGTGGTGACACCCCTACGTCTAATCCGGCCCCAGCTCGGGGAGTTGGAAGCATGACTATTCGTTTCTTGATGCATTCCACTCTTGCCGAGTCCCCGTGGGGTGGGTAAGGTTATATAGATCAAGACTCCCAAATAGAGGATGCGCAATATACCCGGCCCGGACTCCATTTACCCGGTTCTCGCAACTCACCTTCCGCTCATTCTCCCTTTCCATCTTGGCCCCATAGGTTTCGTAAGATGTCATTCAGTTCTATATGACGGTTTGTAATGCATGCTGCCTCTTAAGGTATATTATCCCATCGTCAGGCTGATAGTAGGTTTATGATGTCCGGTCCATTTGAACTCCCCTTGTTATCCAGGCTTCTTGTTCTTCTCTAGTCATCTACCCAGGCCAGATACTGGTATAGAATACTAGCCTATGAACCTGTGACTCGACAGCCTCACTATATTACTGCTCTATCGTTGCTCTTGGATTGATTCTGAAAATGAAGGTCGCGGGAGTCCTTGCGTTCTTTATTGGTGTCCAGGCCGCTCCTCATTGTATGTTGTTATATCGTATTTTTGCTGTATTCTTATACCCACGAAGTTGATTTTCTTGGCCCTTTTCTCGTTTCTCACCTTGGCCGTATATTCATCCTCATGTTCGTCACACTAATATGGTATGGTTCAGATACCTTTCCCAAGCTTGTTGGGACGTCTGACTGGTCGTCTGTGCGCCAGGTTGGTCTTATTCTGAGTTCCACTTATACTCCTTGGTCTCAGCCTTCTTCCTTGGGTGAAGGCTCTGGGGATATTTCGATTTCTGCTGCTTCGTCGACGTTCATACTCACTAACAAAAATTTCTCACGTAGACGGCCAATTTCCAGAGGTTAGTTCTCTGGAGTCATCTGTTTTCCCTTTAGGCAGGCTTCTGGCCTCATTGCTCCTCCTTCATACGCCCGAAACATGGGCTGAATCTCTTCCCTATCTGGCAATTACTGACTCCAGCCAGTAATGGACCCGTAACAGACGTCAACAGTGATGCGATTCGATGCTACCAACGGGCTGGCGGTGCACCCGACATCACCAAGGTCAATGCGGGTGGTCAGATAAACTGGCAAGTCGCACCGAACATCTACCATCGGTACGTATTAAAACCCGTCAGGCCGGTTCTAAAAGCCAGCTTTGATAGAAATGTCTCTTGTCGTCCAGAGTTAACTGTTGCCACAGTATGTGAACGTTCGACCCATAAGCATGACCACTTTCATCTGCGTAATCCTGGAAAGTATTTGATAAGGAGCTAGACTAACACATTTCAATATGGCAGCTGGAGCATTGTCCGCGTATATGGCCAAGGTTCCTAGTGGCCAAACCGCGGCGACGTGGGATGGAAAGGGAGCTGTTTGGTTCAAAGTCTACCAGGATATGCCGTCTGCTAGCGGTGGGCAGTATAATTGGCCATCTAATGGTAAGTGCTGTTATATCTTCATAGAGTAATAAAAGGTCAAGTGTTTGATGGCTTCACATGCTAACTGATAACATCAATATAGGAAAATCCCAGATTGCCTTCACTATCCCACAGTGTCTTGCTAATGGTGATGTGAGTACTTTTGGCAGCCCAATCCCTATGCTTACTATTTCGCGATACGCGAACTCACAGACAGCTATCTGATTTTTTTTAAACCAACTTCAGAAGGAGATATACTGACCCAGCTACCATAGTACTTGTTCCGCATTGAGCATGTTGCGCTTCACAGGTGAGTTCTGCTTTCATCTACATCACATCTACCCACCGTGACCTTGTTTATCAAGACGTTCAAGATTTTCGTTCAGTTCTGATAGCTGGATAAACAATAAATGAATAAGAAGAGGGTTACTCGACCCTGCTTACTGGGAAAGCACCAAAGCTTCTCTATCTCTAGATAGCTAACGTGTCTTTCAAAAACAGCGCAAGCTCTACGAATGGCGCCCAGTTTTACATCTCGTGTGCTCAAATTACGGTCTCGGGTGGCTCGGGATCCAAGACGCCATCAAATCTCGTCTCCTTCCCCGGCGCCTACAAGAGCAGTGACCCTGGTCTCCTCATCAATATCTACAACAATGGCGGGAGGACCTACCAGCCTGCTGGCCCATCAGTATTCACTTGCTGAGAACATATGGCATTACTTCTGGGGTGACACTGGGAAGCTAAGAGGGATTAGTGTTCACAGAGAGGATGCTTTGCCTGTTGATACCGACCTCCGCACGACTTGATAGTTGAGGAGCTTACTCGTTGTAGTAGGTTCTTAAGGTAGAGAATATTCATAATTGTAGCTGAGGACTCACTTCTGAAGCACCGAAACCATCCAGTGACGAAAAGAAGTTATTCACGCTACCATACTTCGATTGTAGAGGCTATTGTGCTCTGATTGAGACATTCTGGAGATAGGTATACATACGATAGATATTAAGCGCCCCAGGGCAAGTGAATACGTGCGTGCGCAATGTAGTCTTTTTCTTGTGACTTTTGGGTTTCCGTTGGCGTCTGAATTTTTCTGCTTGACTGCTCAACGTCTACGACATGTTGTCCATTCTACCCACCCTGTAACAAAGAAATCACACCTGAGCTTCCTCGCAAATAGGGATCTCCTTTCGGTTAAAGCGGATATACATAGTACTTAACTGGATTGATCAATCAGGGGCGTGGTTTTATACTCCATATGATACGCAAAGCTGGTAACATCTCACGTCGTACAGCAAGAGAGGCACGCCTCGTTGTCGACTCCAGGTATGTATCAAAAGGTAAACAACACCACCACCAATACAGATAAATGAATTGGAAATACACCTGGAAGATTCACCGTTAAAAAAAATCAATTCAGAACACGAGTGATATTCTATTATTTTGACTCTCGATCGGGGAATCGAACCCCGGCCACCTGCGTATTGCGGTTTACTTATGTCGACAACTCCTAACGTAGGAGTTATGTCAAGTATGACAAGCAGGTATCCTCACCACTAGACCAATCGAGATGTTAGATGTCCGACTTTTTGGAATTATTCTTTAGCTAAAACGTTCTAGGTTGGCTGCCGAGTCATGGCCTACTTCTACGAGTGGAGTATAATTAGGTAGAGAGAGCCCTCCATCGCATATGTCCTTTTTCTGAATTCCGTTGAAAGCATGCTGCTGGAGACTCCCGAAGAAAGCCAAGACTGAATTTACTGAAACGAACTAGATCATGCGGTATCTCCAGGGGCGAGGCTACGGTGTCTCGAATTAGATTGGTGTTTCCTCCCGACTGTTCTAGACTAGTAAGACGTTGAATTCCTTCTTTTGGTCTTAGCTTGCACGAATTGCCCATGGCAAGCAGATGGCTGGAAAGACACAGCATGAAGGTGGTGTGATTCGATTACCATCCTTTGCTTTGTATCGACCCAATGGAGGCCAAAGCTGAACACAATGAACCTGTTGGCGGGCAGAATATATGCATATCCCGGCATGACCTGCAGGTTTGTACCAACATTGGGCCTCAATCGACAGGCAAATTATATTATGGTCGATACAGGTTTGATTCCAATTACCGTTGTAATTTCTTCAATGGTACTTACTCTCTTACCGCTTAGCAAAGCTTCCAGTATGTTGAGATGGCGCGATTTATGGTGATCCAGTATGTGAGGCTGGACCATCTGCATTATCCCCACACCGCGTGTTTTAACAAGCGGCGGCCGCGAGCGAGAATCTACTTTGTAGTCCGTGGATGTGGGAACTCATCGTTCCCTTGACCTAGTACCCGATTCGGCTTTGGTAGGCCTAGATCTGGGAGCGGAAACCATAGAAGCCTCTGGCCAAAAGTTAATTATTTGAGTAGCATCGATGGATACAAATGTGCAGCGATACGGCACCCGCAGAGTCTTGAAACGGAGAATATTATTCTGCTCCCGGCTCTTGTCGCGTTTCTTGATCGACCGCTAGGTTGCTAGGTCTGACCATGTCTTGAGTCGGCAGTTCACGTATCCGCCTTAATTTAATTTTGTAGGATGTTGATGAACATATTGTAACTGTAATGCGACTAGAGGAGAATGATGACGTGGGCAAAGAGATACGGTTTACGGCCAGTGACGCCTTTGATCGACACCTAGCTTCACGTGGGAGTAGTGGAAAGGTATCTGGGGTCAGACATTTGACAGCAAAAGTCTGTATCCAGATATTCGACTTCTACAACTTCTGGACACACTCTTTTCAGACTCCCCATTCTGAGTGCATACCTGAACGACAATCTACGCCATAGCCAAGTCTAGATGAAATATCACCTACAAAATTTCTACGTAAGTTGGTCTTTTGAGTTTGTTGAATATTTCTCTGTTGCCACGTCTGTACTCAACGGTCAGCTGGAGTACCATTGAGAAGTACAGTAGACACCTCGAAACTTTGTCCGACAGTGAGACATGTAAACCTAAGTGAATATTGCATCAGACATAATAAGTCATTTAGCTACACGCAAGTGACATGTCAAAAGGGCAGCTTCCGACATTGCGCCAGTTTTCGTAGCATTCGATTTTTTTTTTTAACTGCCATGTCTCTGCCTTTGGTGGTTTCGATTTTTTGTTTTTACATATAAAAGGGTGAACTGTTTCAAACACATGACTGGGCTGATGTGGAAGCAAGGGGGTTTTTTCGTGTAGCTTCTTTCCCTTGTTCGTTTTCTCTTGGACCACGAGTCATGTTTATTTCAGCCCAGGAATCAGCCGCATATCATTCCTTCAGAAACGGGGACTCTCATGACCTCGAATTGTTTCGCTTTCGCGTTGCAAATTCGCCATATGTTTATATACCAGCTCGATCTTTGAAGTGAATTTAAGTTGTCTCACCTGACGTATTGCTTTTCAGTGCCCTGGGCTCACAATATCTAAGTTCGAAATCATGGTGGCTTGGATGACCAAGAATAATCACCCGTCTTTCCAGCGCCTCTCAGCAGCACGCCACCTATATTTGTACACACACATTCGGCCGAGCGGTCAAAGCCGGAACAGGAATGAGAGAATAATGACAGGGCGGCATGCAAGCCACTCTGCTTCACACAGGCATATTTGGTCAATGGTTGGTTCATAACCCTCGGTTATTTGCAGGAGGAAGCATGATACGAAATTTTCTTACGCTCCCTCGCTTTCGTGTTGCCCATACGCGCTGTATGTATGTGATGCTGAGGTTAGCTAATACTGACTGGTAACGGCGTCGACAAGAGAGATAACAACTACACTAGTCTAATAATAATAGTAAAGGCCTGTCTAAGGAACGGAATAGTGCCTCGTGAAACCTGCTTTGCCATGACCACCCCAGTGATTTCGATGATGTGTAACGGGATCTAGCAGATTAGTGACAGACGACCGCTCACTATCCAGGCCAGAGGCTGTGCCAATCGCTGTCAGATCACTCTGGTTCCTACCTTAGACTGATCTTCTGCAAAACTGGTGTACCCAAAGACTACTTTAGCAGCCACCGCTAATGTTCTTTAGGTACAAGACACACACACACATTCGCTGGTCTCTCCGGTACCACGCACTTTTGGCGTCAACGGTAGCCCGTCCGAAAGCACACTAGAAGCCAAGGGCTTCCTGCCTGCATCCATCCAGCCATCCATCCCTCTCCGCGACGATGTTATAACACACCTCTAGAAACTCGCTTGCCGTGTTTTCTTCGCTCTTACTTAACTATCTGGGTATCTGTATGCTTCCTAATAATCCGACCCACCTGTCTGACGCATCAATGATCGAAAGCAGAACGACCTGCATTCTTGGGTGGAATGGGACATGATTTCCAGCTGGTTCGAGGAGAGGCTACCACATCGATGTTTGAGGCCCATGTTTGATTATATGTCATCGTGATGCTGGCTGGGGGCCCGGCGGTGCCGAAATCCGCATCCGCGTAAGGATTCAACCGAGAGTGGGAGAGACAGACACAGACACAGAGAAGGAAAAAAAAAAAAAAAAAAAAAGTGACGAAGAAGATACAAATCTGTAACATCCATGCCTACTTACATCTACGTACATTAGGTTTTCCTCCTATTGTTCTGGTTGGACCTTGGGAATCGTGGGTCCCATTAACCCCAAACTACTACGTATATAAGTGCATGAATAGAGATATATGTACGCATAGACATAACTGAAAATCCAGCGGATAATTACCGACGACGCTTTCATTTCCCTTAGTGCGAACTATCTAGTGTACCTACTTGCTCACACTGAGCGCTTTGACGTTTGGGGAATTATTCTCGAACAACAGGGACACAGTATACGATCCTTTCCCCCGGAGAAATATTTTTCTAAACCAAACCCCATAACAACGCAGAGAGAGGTAGATCCCCACTCAGCTGCATACTGTATTTGAAGGCTCTCGGGGAAATTGCCCGATGTCGTATCCTCCCTCGAGATTTCATCTGCCTCTCACCGCACCGCACCGCGCCGCACAGCACAAAAGAAGTGAGTGAGCAATTGCTCAAAGAGTGGGTGGACACATACATACCTACGCTCACGTCCACGACATGTATCATTGACGTCAATGGCAAAATGGCGGGAACTGTAGCTGGCTATATTTTTTTTTTTTTTTTTTTTTTGGATTGCCGGATTTTCGAAATATCCTATTATTTGAATCCGGCTTACAAGGTATTTAGTAATCATATCATTATCTAAATTAAGAATTAGGGACAGTCACAGATGGTTAAATGGCGTTATCTCTAGATGATCAATTGAAGTGGCTGGGCTACATTTTGATTTCTGATCTTGAGCATGGCAGAGGGGGTGTTATAAAAAAAAAGAGAGAGAGAAAGAAAGAAAGAGAATAATAGGAATAGTGCTGCTGTGCATTGATCGCCACTGCAGCTTGGCGGCAGGGGTCCTTTTTGTATACCAGATCCAGACAAGTGGGTGATGTTCCCAGGGATCTCAGAGATACGGATAGGATCACATTTTTTTTTTTTTTTTTTGGCGCAACAAAGCGATTAGGTGTAGACTACGGTTACGGTACCGTAGGCGAGACGATGCAATGCGATGGAGTAGCAATGGTGGTGTCGTAGTGAGTGTCGTAGGACAAGGTATATACATAGCCGTACCAATTCCCTTGTCGACGGCAGATGCGATTGGCTTGTTGCTTTTTGAAGTTTCCGGGGTGTTTGTGTTGTTTCATAGAGGAGATACGGTGCTCTTACAGCTCTTCCAAAGCTCGCTTTCTGTCGTTGATCCCCTGTCTCCAGTGAACTAACTACCTACTCTTTTTGATCTGACTGCCGCAGCCGCGGGATACAGTTACCACTTCGAGAGTCTTCTATAAAAATATTACTATGATGTGAGCGCACGAGTGGCCAGCTGAAAAGATTGCCGAGAAGTCATGTGCAATCTGTCGATTTGTCCAAATTTCCCCTCTAGTCTCACGATAATATTTGGCCATCATTTTGGGTGACTGATTGACTCTCTATTATGATGGCGATGGTGATGGGGCCGACGATGATTGGTGTAGCTATGACAGTTCGATCCCGCATCATCGGCCAATTCGCAGCGACCTACCTACATACTTTGTATATACATCCATGTTATATGTACAGTAGGACTAGATGGACAATTTGAACGCAAGGTTATGGTTCGCCCAGCTCTATGATTTTGTTAATATTGGAGGTCTTGGCTATATGTATAGACATGACTCGAGCCCGTGGGTTCCAATATGTTTGAATTGGTGGACGCTTGTACGTCCAGACTTTCTACACTGGGAACACGCCGAATCAGTCAAGGTTGCATGTTGGTGGGTCAAAGTACCGTACGCTACCTGCGCATGCGAGACCAACGATAAGATGAGCATCACTCTCTCCTTACTTAATCCTGGGAATGAAGTGTATTGGAACTTTTTGCCTCTCTTGCATGGTAGAGGCCAACACTATGGCAGACCTCTCGGCGAAGACGTTATCCGAGTAGGTATGTCTGTGGTGCATCGAATTATAGATACATAGGTAGTTTTGTATATACGAGGTATCTCTCCGGAGACGTCC